GTGACTCTGGGAGAGTACTCGGGGGGAACGCGGGGAAAGAAATTAATGTAGTGGGGGGCCTATGATATCCTGGCGTTGCGTCGCGAAACCCCCGAAAATCACTCGGGTTGCGCCTGTCGCGTGTGAAAGTAATTGCGTACGAGGTAACGGAATAGAGCGAGAACGAGAGAGAGCGAGAGAGAAAGAGAAGACAGATAGCGAGGGTCGAACACCGGTGGCCTGTTAGGTAAGCCTCGTCAATACTCTCTTACAAGGGAAGGCACGGAACTGTCCCCCTCCGATTTTGATGAAACTTCATATTACCACCTGTTAGCACCTAATTGTTCAAGAAATCTATAAAGCAATGTCCAAGGATTAAAAATAAATAAAAAATAAGGCAGTGTTTTGGGGTGCAAAAAAGTAATTCATTGTTTTATACTTGATGTTTCGAAAAAAGAAACACTGTTTTCAAATTGTTATTTTATCAAAACCACACAAACAAGTAAAGTAAACAAGGTACCAAATTACTCTACATACCTTCCTCTATATCTTACATATATTGTTATTGCACTTCTTTAACACTACACTTGTAATAAATCACTTTATTAATATAGGTTTCTTGGCATTTTCTTCGAACAAAAAAATTGTTGACTTTCAAGTCTCAATTTGTTACTAAATTTACGAAAAAACAATGTAGCAGTTTACTTTTATTCATTCTTAGGAACATGCGGACAAAGTTTCATTCGTTTTGAACAAAAATGAAATTTGGGGTTTTGGCCAGCTTTTCGGGTGAAATACCCCACTGTGTGTGTCGTGATAAAGTGAGTAGCGTTTATTTAGCGCGGGTCTGTCGCATATCGCGAACATGTGTTTGCTGAGCGGAATTGAACACCGTAACTTCCTCGCGGATTTCCTCCAGGACGCGGCGTAACATCGACGGCGTACTCAAGTCATTGTACCGGTAACTGTACAAGGGAAGGTAGCGTAACACCGAGTTACCTTGTTCTGTGATTTATTCCGTATTGTTCGTACGGAGAATATTGTATCGGGTGGTAGGGGACCAGCGAGCTACCCTGTGTTGAAATTGTTAAATCGCTATGTAATATTAACGAAATACTACCAACTGTTGTAACGCAGCTCCATTTAGGCAGGTCAAAGATTTATTAAACGTTATTGAGTTAAGGGGTCATGCTCAGTCAGGAGGCCGAAAAAAGAGCGTTCTTTGGGAATTTTTTTCTCGAAAACTATACGACCTTTTTCAAAAAATGCGTCTGTGTTTTAAAGATTGTAGTTTATAGATTATAAGGTAATTTTTTTATTTAAAAATATTTATTAGTAAATAAATGGTGAGCGATCTCCCGGATGTCTCTTCACAAAAAGGGGTCTGCCGTGATCACTGTAACTTCGTAACGGTTCATCTGAAACTAAAAATTCAGTAAGATTTATGTAACGGAAGAACCAATCTTGTCCTTGAACGTGGGGTTTTTCGAAATATTGATTAGGAACAAAATAGCGGACGTATCTACATATCTCATGGGGGCATCAAATGAAGATAACAATTCTGGAATTGTTCAGGAAGATAACAAATCTTAAAAGATGCAGGTGACCTCTTCCTTCATTTTTTGTACGCTTTTATTCTCTCTACGGCATCCATCTAAAAGGTTCGTTTCCGTGGTTACTCCAACTCACCTGTAACGCTGGTGAATATGGGGAAGCACGCATGGTTGAACGACTTAAGTGTTCTCCATGTCCTCAAGTCTAATCTTCGGTTGTTTTCAACCCATCTACCGAGCTCCTAGAACTCCTTTACCCGTGTTTCTTCCTCAACGTATTTTCTCACGGTTATTTTACAGAGAAAATACGTACATACGTCAACCTTTATGTACGGCACCTCTTTTATTGGAATGAACGGTGTTACGTAGTGAAGAAAATACTCGCGTCTTCTCGGAGTAACAAACTTTTATTTAAAAATGCGGATAGGCAAGTATAATCGAAAAAAAGGATGTCGCGTACAACTAGGTTTTATCATCCATATTTCATATCCATTGCGTTGGAGTTTTACACCTTTCTTCCTGCTCAAAGGTTGGCGGCAACCGGATGTTAATATCCCTGGCATCGCCTAGATAGAATTTCGGCGAGACTTCGACGTACCCCGATTTTCGTGAGAACCCTTCTCCTCATTCGCGACGGAAAGTCGATGGAACAAGACCCAAGAATGTAGGAGGGTTGCGTAACAACGGCTTGGTTTCAAACAAACATGAAAGTTGCACATTTTTCAAATTGAAAGAACGATACTTGTTTTATGCGATTTACATGTGTAAGTCACGCGTATATTTAGCACTTAAATATTCTCTATTCGTAGTAAACAAAATGAATCAATTTAAAACATGAAGAGTAAAAAAAAGTATATAATTCGGGTTTAAATTAATTTTTTTTACAGAATTGGTTACGCTATTTGTTAATACCTCGTCGAGCCACCCCAAATTAAAAAAAAATCATCGTTCTACGGTCATTTGTTGCAGAGAAAACCTAAATTTTTCCGACTCCGGCGGATATAACGCACGAGATCGATTTTGGGGTCCAGCTCTCCCCACTCCGCTCCCGTGCGCTGTCTCATTCGCATACCGATACTTTGTTGATCTCTATCAGAGAAGTCTCTGAATGGATTAATTCGAAAATTAAATAACAGATAATTCAACTCTTCCTCCAGACTTCGTCCAAATTTGAACTCTTAATGTTGAAAAGTGACGCTAGAAGGAAATAATCACATACTTAAATGATGTAATTGAAAATAAATCGGCGACCTAACATACAATGTAATTTTCTGTCTCGTGTTTCGGGGGCGTCAGAAGCCCAGGCACCATTTCCGTATTCCATTTTTTCCTAGCGAAACCGGGGCAATAATGTATGTAGGCAATAATGTATGTCATCACAGTGTTGAACGTAGTTCCTGAAATCAGAAACTTTTATGTGGAGTGCGTTCGAACTAGCGTGATTTTCGTGGTACACCTGGGACACCAAGTCCCATAAGATGTTAGGTCTATTCTTATATCTCGTCTGTGTCATTACGGGCCTTCGCGAGACTGCTTAATCGTCGGTATTGCAAGGGTTAAAAGACGAAGAATCCCAGGAAACGTGCAAAACACTACGAGTATACTAGAATTCGAATGGAATTATAACGAACGAAAAGGCACAAGTAGAGAGACACGTCGCAACATTCACCAAGAACTATCGAGGATCGAGAAATCGTCCTGGCTGTGGCAGTACCTACGAAGTAGGGGCTTGATATTCGTCTGACGCGCGCCACGAAGCCCGTCTGCGTATGAACGCAGAATAAATTAACCCGATGGTCTGTCCCTCTCCTTTCCGCCTATCGATCCTTTTCTCCTTCTCTCCTTTTCCCTCTGCCACTTCCATCTTTGCTTTCCACTTCTCTTTCTGTTACGATCTTTTTCCTACCGGGGCATTTATAATGATTTCTCCTTCGTGGTGGTGGGACGATACCGGAAGTGAAGTCAGTACAGCGGAACCAGACGTTCACTCAATGGAAAGTTTGAGTTCTTCCAGTAAGTACGTCCAAGAAGACCCGAGCGTAGATCGGAGTTCCCCTCGCATGAAAAATCCGCTTCTTTCGCCGGGCAGACGGCATTACTGCCCGCGACTCGTGCGTGCACGGAAGAAGTTCGAAGAACCGGAGAAACTCCTAGTAGTTAGTTGCTCGATCCCCGCTATCATTTCTTTGGTCGCGTGTTAACATTGCGCGTTCGTATTACCTTGGGGAGATCGTTCGTTCGAGACTTAGTGGAAAAGTGTTGGATATATACACACACATACACATACACACCGATATATATATCGCGTGGATACCATCGCAAGTGACGTGTTGTTCAGTTCGGCGTTTTTCATTGGTGCTTCGTCCTGCATTGTACTTCACAGACGAAATGGGAGACTTAAAATTTTCATCTAATTTGAAACTCGTCAGTAATGTCCAGTATGGAGAAGGAACAAACAAAATCATAGAGGAAAATCTGGTTTGAAGAATGTTGCAGCCAGAAATTTGAACAAACAATTGAAACAATTGCCTTTTATGATAAACATCGAAGAAAGTGAAGTACTGTTCATTTTGTTTCGATTGATCTACGGTGACATCATGAATAGAAGAGGAACGCATAGATTTCTGGACCAAACTGTAGATTTTCGTTTCGTAGGAAAAGATTGCAACAATTAAGTGGAATATGCGGATTTATATACTATGGAAAGTAGACGATATTACATTTTATTATATGTTGTTTCTTTTTCTGCGAGTGTGATTTATTTATGATAGATATTTATTCACGCCGTTGGTATTCTGAAACAGGAAGATATAATGCAAACCTATGTCTGCGCTAAACGTCAACGAAAAATGACAGAAAACTGTACAAAGTAAATTATGGGAAGTAATCAGCCAGAAGAAATGAATTTATTATGTTGCTGAAATTAAAAATCAGAAATACACTTTTTATTATTTTCATTTGATTCAGTGTCTAATTGCGAAAGTTCTTAATTGCACAAACGGATTAGGGAATTAATTTTTCCAATTAACGGAACGAAGAGTACCGTAATCATTAGAATCATAATTCGCAACACGTTCTTCGTGTCTTAGAAGATGAACGAATTCTTTATCATGCTTGAAAGAAGATCAGTTTCCTGTATGTCGAATGATAATTACCGACGGAAATCACACGGTAAAATGGAAATAAGGACGACGAAAAACGTACAAGATACAGTTCCACTTTGTCGGATACCTTCGTGGTTGCTGGTTGATTTTCAGTGTTTTCAGTGAAATACGGGATTAGATACTTTCACTTTGGCCTTGCGTGTGTTTTACGATTAAAGCGCTTCGAACACTGGGAAAAAGTACACTAAACAGTCTGCGACAACATGATAAGGTGCTGTTCGGTATTGTAACGCTAGTAATGAAAGAAGTGCTTAGGGACGTGAAAGAGAGGGTTTTAGTGGATTTGTCGGAGCATTCTTCAGAGATGGTTAGCCAACACGCGATGGCTACCACAGTTCGCAAAGTTAAGCAAGAGAACCGACTGAGACGACAATATCAGAATCAAGGTACAGAAACATAAAAGATATTCCGTAATGTATGATCTTATCTTTAAAGATGAATTTAATATGTCACATTATTAGGTCTATGTAAAAGTAATGACCGTTCTTTATCAACGATTTTTATGAACGTAACGTTTGTTAAAATAAGTGTTCAGTTATAAAAGTAATGAGATTGTTTGTTTTATATAATTCACGTTGGGAAACTTGACAAAAACAAATCAATTAATATTATAAATGAGTAATAGATTGTTAGTTGAGCGTGTCACGACAATGGAACAGAAAAATATTGAGCAGCGATATGTTATTTTTTGTATGAAACGTGACGAGAATTGTTCCGGGACTTGGATAAAGTTGGAGAAGATTTATAAAGAGCAAACATTGTCGCGTGCGTAAATTTTTCGATGGTAAATATAAAGCCATAATGCGTTTTGGGAAGACGAGGAACCGTTAACGCTGATCCATGCCCTACAAAGAAGGTGTGGTACAACGCGAACGGATGAAAATGTGGAAAAGGTAGAGTTCTTATAAGGGAAGGCACGGAAATGTCCCCCTCCGATTTTGATGAAACTTCGTATGTCTGTTAAGCAGTCAAAAATAAGGGATATGTATTTTTTTTATCGGCTGAGACGCGACTTTAAGGGGTGAAACCACCCCTCGAGGTTTCGATCCGAAATTTTTTTGTTATAAACAAATTATGTTTTGGACAATTTGTTAGCACCATGTTATTCTACATGAAAAACCGCAAACCTCGTCTATTCGAAGTTTTCATGTATCTCCTCTGATTTTCGAGATAGTACTTTCGGGTTGAAACTTCGAGGGGTGGTTTTACCCCTTAAAGTCGCGTTTCAGAAGATAAACAAAAATACGTCTCCCTTGTTTTTGACTGCTTAACAGACATACGAAGTTTCATCAAAATCTGAGGGGGCACTTCAATATATGTAAATTTATTTCAAGTACCAAAACAAATGTTAAACCGATTGGTAATTTGGCATAAATTTCAGTAACTCCCAAAACTAAATGGTAGGAGACCCTTCGCCTACCTTACTTTTTCCCCTAGCGGAAGCCGAGTTTGCTCGCGAGGGTACAAAGTCTTTCGAATATCAATCGACATGGTTGATTTCGGTCAAGATAAATTTCGGCATACTTAGCTATGGCTATAGCTCTTCTTGCATTTTTTACGGCACTCACTATAAACTAAAAGCATATCCACTTTTTGACAATTACTAAATTTCATTTTTGCTTTTACTTTACTGCGATGAGTCACGTATAAACACTGATGATAACTTCAATACAGAATATGCGATTATGATTCCATATGCAGAATCGGTCATGTTGATAAACATTGTCACGTAAACTCTGCGGTTTTACGGAAATTTTTGCTGGTATTGAATCTTCCACTTGATATTACGCACAGATCATTTTCAAGAATCAAAGCGAAATTATTCGTTAATTATTAGGTTTACGGCTAAGAAAGGTCAGTACTCTTTTTACTCGAAATTTAACGCTCTTCGATATTTTGGTATACAAAATATATCGTTTCATTTAAAAGAACGGAGTTGACCTTCAAATCGCCGAAACGCCTCTAGATAAAAAAAAAATATATGCATTATATTATGTATCCCTTCAAACCATACAACTTTTCTATAAAAAATGTTTTCATACAATGCATACTTTAGATGTTATTCAGGGTGAATAAGTTGCGTGGACCACCCTGTATACATATGTATGTACACTGCGTTACAGAAGTTCGTGAACACCCCTAATGTTTTGGTTTCAGTATGTACCAGAAACTTTTTGCACAATCCAGTAATACCACGTTATTCAGCGTCCCAAAAAAACCCTGTGTGCAAATTTTCAAGTTAAAATTCGTACAATACACGTTTTTATTATTAAAAATCAGTTTTTCGGCCGTGACAAAAGTTTGTGAACACTACCATAAAAGCAAATTTATTGAAAAACTAACATGTAGCAATAATTACCAATAATAACACTGATTTTATAGTTGAACTGTCCTCCTTTCTTCGTGATAATGTCAAAACTATGAGTTTTCATGGAATCAGTCAATTGCTGAAGCAGATTCAGCTCAAGATTCTGCCAAGTCGCTAAAATTACAGTTTTGAGCTGTTCCAAAGACTCATCTTGTTTATTATTTACGTACACACGACGTACTAACATCTCCCAAACGTTTTCCATGGGACTACAACTCGGCGACTAGGGAGGCCACCCCAATAACTCGATGCGGCGCTAATTGGACCATGTTTTAGTTACGTTACTTCTGTGTGGAGTCGTTATCTTATTGATAGACAAAAGGAGTCAAGTACAAAACGTGTAATGTACGAAGTTTAATTTGAAAATTTGCACACAGGTGTTTTTTAGGACGCTGAATAACGTGGTACTACTGGATTGTTGAAAAAATTTCTGGTACATACTGAAACCGAAAAATTAGGGGTGTTCACAAGCTTCTGTCATGCAGTGTATAATAGTACAAGCTTCATTTGTAATCTGGTATAGATTCATTAAAACCTTAACCTACAGAATAAGTCGGCAACTAGCAATACAACCCACAAAGGTACATCTTTACCGCTCGAGGTGTACCGAATTTAACTTAAAAGTTACGAGGCCAACTAACATTCCAAGTGGTACCCCCGCCCTGATGAAATAAGCATCGACCTATCCACGACCAACAACAATTCAAATAACCGATCCTCGGCTAGAATAACAGTCGGGAGGCTCTTTAGCCCTCGGCTCGTAACGCATGATACATGAATTAACCTGTTTCATGTTGCTTTAAACTTGACCTTATAAAAATTCGTGTAGCTAAAACGTATTCACTATTTCAACATGAAATTTTAATACAAGACATTACAACGTACAATCGTAAATTAAAGACATCTAGAAAATATGATAACAGTATTGAATAACGCTTATACGGGAAACAGATGATTTTATGAAATTTATGGTTAAGGAATAATCTGAAAAATATGTTATTTTACATCCAGCTAATTTTAGATTTTTTAGTTTATGCCTTCTGTTTAACATGTTTCAATGCATGATTGTATTACATTCATGAACATTACAAAAAATTATGCCATACATTTTTGTTTTTCACAAAACAGTTTGTTTTGAAGTAGTAAGGTATTATTTCTTATATTTCATATCGTTGGTCTGTTCAATTTATATCTCTATGTAGCTGCAGATTTATCTCTTTAAGTTTAGGAATTGTGCAGAAAGTAAACGGGAATTACTTATTGGTTGTCTGGAAAATTCGTGCCGGTTAGAGATGTGAATCGAGTTCCACAATTTTCAATTTCTGTCTTATTTCATGACCAAATGTAGTTTCCACGTTGTTTTTACAATTTGTTATGTTTGGATAATTCCATTATAGAACTTACATAAAATATCATACTTTTGATTAAAAATTCTTGTCTTTAGAGGTAAATATATCTTGACATGGAATCCTTCTTCGACCGGACTAAATAAATTTCCTAAGAGATTAATGTCTGATAAATAGATTGAATACTATAAAATTCCTGATCCAATCAATGATGTTCTTTTTTACATTTTCAATTTAACGTGTGACTAAAATACATTTCCTACTCTCCAATACTTTTCTTTGTATCCTTCTTATAGCAGACAAAAATTCGACACTTAATACGCATAAAATATGCATTCGAAATGTGTTTGGAAAAAAGTGTATATTTGTTATATCAAACAATTTTCTATTAATTCGGTAAAAATGGCAATGAAAAAATAATAATTGTAAACGGTATATGTATTGCAGATGAGGAAGGACTATACAAGCCACCACCGAAACCGGTGTCGAACAATCAGAAGAACCAGAACGACCAGCAAGAAAGCAGGGTGCAGACGGTAGCCGAGCAATCGTCACGGACGATTTCCGGAACTGAAAGAAACGTCGTGCTCGAGGACAGTCAGCTTCGCACTTCCGGGCAGAATCTTGCGCCGGAATACAGGATGCCACCGCTCTATGGGGAGGAGCAAAGTTCAAGTCAGGTTCAGCCAGCAGCTAATTTACAAACTCACAGTAGCAAATTTCCGGTACGTGTACGAATAATTCGTGTGTAATATGCGTGCGTGTGTGTGCGTTAATAATAACGCGGAATATTTCCACAGTGTGGATTCTACATGGCAAAGTAAAATGAAAATCAAGAATGACGAAATTGCGTTCGAGACTTCTTTTCCGAGTTATTAATTGTTGAAAATGAGGGCGAAATATGTATAAACCTACGTCTGACGTGAGGGGTTGTTTTACTTGAGAAGCGCGCCTTTCAACTGTAACACGAATTGGTTTCATTCATTTTACTTTAGGTACTTCATTCATGAGTTTTAGTAGATTCGGTTTTCGAGTAGGATATGCATCATGTCATTCTTGATTTTCGTCTTATTTGGGGTGTACAATCTACTCTGTGAACGTGTCTTATATTTTTATTAACGTCCTGTAGAATATACAATATCCTCCTTCTGTCGCTATGATAAAAAAGAAAATATAAATCATATCAATCATATAGATATAACGCTTAAAGTACCTGTTTTTTAAGGTATTTTTGCCTCAAGTACTCCTTGGAAGGTGGACGTTTTTAATGTTCGTACAGCAGCGGTGCTTAGGTCCGTTTGAACCACTAATACTTCTTAATTCTTAAAAATTATTCTCGAACGTAATCATTCAAATGACCTGCATTTGTATATGACATAATATTAAATACGATTCATACGTTAATGAGTTAGATTTGTAGATGGAGCTTTTACAAACTCGTGTCCATATGGATCCAGGTACCGCCGTGCGTGGTTTAATTGCATGACATGCATTGCTTATTTTATTTTCCTATACGTATATGATATGACGACCCTCATGCAAACCAAACTAACAAAACTTATGTTCATTTGTAACAATGAGTTATGGCAAGTTTTGATATTCTATAGTGTAAGATTTCTCCACAATAATTGATAGCAATCATATAAACCGATTGTAGGTATATGTACAAAGCGATACTCTCAGAAAGAGAAAAATTTCTTTGAAGTTAAAAGAATAAGTTAAATATTAATTTCCTCTACAAGAAAAAATTGAATGTTAATATTTGTAAAAGGAAAATATGAATAGTTAATATCTTTGTTTACAGATAGAACGTGAAGTAGTTTTGTCATCGGGGGATAAGAACTCGAAAATCCCTATCCTTCACGAATACAAACAAAGAACTGCTGGAAGAGTTGCTATTGCACCGGATGCGCCAATCAAGCAACAAGCTTGGGTTCAAGAGGTGAGTTAATTTACTAACGAAAATTCACAGTATAGTGTAGCCGTTATAGGTATTTACAGCGAAAACTTTAGCATCCATTATTGTTTCATAACAGTCTTTAAAGGAAAATGCGATTTTCTCTTCGGAATTGTTCTCAGCTGACACCTTGTATTCCGTGACCATAAATGTGTCATCGATAGGGTATTGCACTTATTCCAAGTGGATACAGGGAGACTTCGGCGACAGTTTTCGTTTTCTCTGACAGGACTGTCACAGTCTGCAGGACAAATAGGTAGACCAGCTATAACTTATGACGGCGCACAGTGGTCGGAACTGAGAAATTCAGTGACATTTTGTCAAAAAATCAACCTTCTCATATTAATATCTGATCAATGTGTATTGGTTCCCAAATGTCCACTGACTTTGAAAATGAAACAGCTAAAGAAATGTAATACATATTTTAAATGACATAAGCACTTAAAGTTGGATATTTTAAAATTAGGATTTGTCAAACGAAAAAAACTGTTTTCATTTTCAAGGTTCTCTGAGGACCTTGTAATTATTTTTCTTCCGTTTTTTTTCTCACTGAAGAGCATTCTTTCGAGATAAGAAATCATGCCCTACATTCACAATTACTGTATATAATAACTTTGAAAAGCAGTATTAAATGGAATGAAGAAAATTCTCAAACTGCTTTGCAATTGATAGGGTATATGTCGTAAGTTCCAACGAATCCCGCATTGCAACAAGTTGAAAT